TCCTGCAAAAAGACTTTTGGCCAAAGATATTTAGAGACTAGAAGATACAGGTATTAGATTTTGTGTCAGAAATTCAGAGGCATTGTTGGCTTGTGCTCAGGATAAGTCTTCATTAGTTGAGCGCATTAAGGCCACCCAATATAAAGATGCACGATTTTGCAAATAGAGAGATGAGGCCTTAGCTGGTAAAAGCAAGGATATGATTGTTGAAAGTGATGGTGTTCTTCGAATGGGTGACAGGCTATGTGTAGGAGACGTAGATGGGTTGATACATGCTATTCTTAAAGAAGCTCACAACTCTAAATACACTATACATCCTGGATCCACAAAAATGTACCATGACCTGAAGCAATTTTATTGGTGGGAAGGTATGAAGAAAGATGTTGCTAACTTTGTTTCTAGTTGTTTGACTTGTCAGCAGGTCAAGGCTGAGCATCAGCGACCCGCAGGACTACTACAACAAATTGAGATTCCAGAGTGGAAATGGGAAAGAATTACTATGGATTTTGTCACCAGGCTACCACGAACCCTTAGAGGTTATGACTCGGTGATTGTAGATCGACTGATGAAATCAACACACTTTTTGCCGGTGAAGACTACATATAGTGGAGTCAGGTATGCACAGATATTTATGAACGAAATTGTCCGACTTCACGGAGTTCCAGTATCCATCATCTCTGATACAGGATCACAGTTCACTTCACGCTTTTGGAAATCTTTTCAAGAAGCATTAGGTACACGAGTAGATCTTAGTACTGCATTTCATCCACAGATAGACGAGCAGTCTGAACGTACTATTCAGATCTTGGAGGATATGTTGAGAGCTTGCATTCTTGTGTTTGGAGGTAGTTGGGCCACTTATCTACCATTAGCTGAATTTGCTTACAACAATAGCTTCCAGTCCAGTATTCAAATGGCACCGTACGAAACATTGTATGGTAGAAGATGTCGTTCTCCTATCGGATGGTTTGAAGCTGGTGAGACTAACTTATTGGGACCCGACCTAGTACAAGAAGCTATGGACAAGGTCCAGTTGATCAGACAGAGATTGCTTGTAGCTCAAAGTAGACAAAAGTCTTATGCTGATAAGAGAAGAAGAGATTTAGTGTTCACAATTGGGGACAAAGTGTTCCTACGAGTCTCCCATATGAAAGGTGTGATGCGGTTTGGGAAAAGAGGCAAGTTGAGCCCTAGGTTTATAGGACCGTATGAGATATTAGACCGAGTGGAAGCGGTGGCTTATCGTTTGGCACTTCCTCCTGAGTTATCCTTTATTCACCCAGTGTTTCATGTCTCAATACTAAGAAAATGTATATCAGATTCATCTCAGGTGATTGAAGCACCGACTATACCGCTCGATAAGAAGTTGTCCTACGAGGAGGAGCCGATGGCTATTGTTAATAGGCAAGTAAGAAAGTTATGGTCAAAAGAAATTGTGCTCGTTAAAGTCTTATGGAGAAATCATATTGTTGAAGAAATTACATGGGAAATAGAAGATGTTCTGCGAGTCAAGTATCCTCATTTATTTCAGTCTACAGGTACGTACCTGAGCTAAATTCGAAGACCGAATTTCATAAGGTGGGGAGAATGTAATACTCATTAAAAGAAAGAGGGTAATTACGTAATTTACCAAAAAAAAGAATTTAAATTACAAGATTAAATAGGGCAAAACCCTACGTTAATCTAATAGAAACAAAACAAAGGAAAAAGGCCGAAGCCCCTTTCTCTGGCAAATAGAATCTGCGTAAGACGAAGCAGAAGCTGAAACGAAACAAGAAAAAAAAACAGAGAAGGAAAGAAGGGGAGAAGAAAAAAGAGGCTAGAACTAAATCTTGAGAAATCATAAATACGCACTGATTTTACGGGTAATACTCGAATTTCTCATTTGGGTTCTTTTCTTCTGGTAATTCTTTTTATCTCAGTTCATATATTTGAAGAGTTTAGCAAGGTATAAGAAATTAAATACCAATAAGAATTATTCTGGGCAAATTAAGAGTCAAACATGAAACCTCGAGGGTCGGGTATTCTAAAATAGCTATGAATTAGCCTAAATAAGAAAATTAACATGAGATCGGTATTATGTAACTATAGATTGATCGGAGGAATTTGTACGAGTTGCTTGAGGTGAATCAGTTGGTATTTCGGCACGAGTATTATGAGTAGTAATCTTACCGCAATTTGTGTTTTCATAACTTGCATGATTTACACATAATTTTTAATATATGTTACCGATTATTTTGAGTTGTATGTGGGACAAGTCTTTTACTCGATATGATACCGAAATAGTTATTTGAGATGATTACTGTTGTTTTAAATATTCTTGTTGTCACTAGATATGTTCTACCGTTACTTGAATTTACTATTATTGAAATGAAATTACATGATTTGATAAGAACCAAAATTCCCTATATTGTTTTAAAATATTTTCCTATGAGTATATACGGATACAGAGACGAGTATAAGTGGGAGTAGACTTTGAAGGATCCCGTAGCTAACGGCGGGTTCGTTAGACCTGGTGCACCTTGTATTTACTGATTACAGAGTACAGTTATAGCCCTCGCTAGTGGGAAGGTAGAACTAGCATACCGTTACTGATTTCCCTCGAGTAGGGACTACCGTTATATTTGACTTCTTGCGAAGAAGTCCATAATTATACCGATTATATGATCCGTTCATTGAAACCTCCCAAATTTGAATACTGATATTATGTCGTGGTTACCGAACTTATTACTGAATTGTTAATTATATTTTACTACAAGAAAAGCGTGATGAGACTGAAAATTATTTATTATTTCTGAAGGGCATTTTTATGTTATTTTCTCGTTGAGATACTAGAATGTTTCTGACTTGTCCCCAAATAAAAATGGTTGTGGTTAAGTGTTATTACTCACTTAGCTAGCGACTCATTCGCCGCTAAATTTTTTATAGAGACAGCAGTTGACGCAGGCGAGGATTTCGTTAATTAAAGCGCACAGGTTGATAGTTCTTGGTGAGCCTCGCACTTGTTCGTGTGGGTAGAGATTTTATTTATTGTTATGGTCTTTTCTTTAAATTCTTAGAGTCGCTCCATAGTCATTATTTTAGTGTCGTGAGTATTCTTTTGTTATTATAGTCTTATGTCGGGTATCGTTCTTTATTTTCAAAGTCGGAGATAAATTAGTATTTCTGGTTGTTAGTGGGTTGATTAGTAATGGTGAAGACTATTTTGGTTAATTAATAAGTTGTCGATTGTTTGAGTTGCTATTAGGGTGTTTGGTTGCTGATTTGAGACAGGAGGAAAATTTTGGGATGGTCCAAAAACAGGGGAAGCTCTGTCCGATTTTCTGAAAAATTTACCGATTAAGCTTACTTGGGAGCACTTGCTCCTAAGTGCCGATCACAATCCTAAATGGGGTCGTGACATGCAGTCTGCACAACATGGCGTTCTTCGCTTCCTTCTTTCAAAAACTCTCCTCCTTTACCTCTCCAATTACCCTTCCCCAACATCGAGCTTGACTATTTTGAAAAAAGCATTGATTTTTATCTCATTGAAAGCACCATTTATCTTTTCCAACCCCGTGATGGCGCTTCCATTGCTTCATCCTGCAGAGGCTGGTTGGTGAAAGTTACACAGACGGTAGATGGAAAATTGCGGGTTATGAATCCAGTAGCCGGCAAGTACATCTACATTTATAAAGATAATGGTTCGAGACGAATGATCCAGGTTTTGCCAGATTATATGCCTGTGGTACTGAATTTACTAGATTTCCGCGTTTCACAGGTTTCTAAAGCTTATCATGTGCAGCTCGTCAAGCGCTCTTCATTCAAGGATTACGGTGTAGGGTATCGTTTTAGTAAAATTTTGCCTTCTGCCAACCATGCAAGAAGTCGTGATCAGGCCAATCATTTTTCTATAATGGCAATTGTTCATACGGGTGAGTTAACTTATTTAAATGCGGGGGATGATAAGTGGACAGAATTAAAAGATGCCAGTTGCTATATTGTTGATATTATTTTGTATAAGGGGAATTTTTATGCTGTTGATCGATATGGCAAGACCATAAAATTTGATTCCTCGTTCAATGAGACTGTAGTATCTTCCATCTTATACGATGGGGGCAGTAAGAAGCGATTGGTGGAATCAAGTGGGGAGTTGTTTTTGGTTGATATAGTTTTAGATGTTGATAAGAAGAAACATCATGCCGAGCACCCTGCTTGGGATAGAGCCCTTGAAATTAAAATATATCGTCTGGACGAAGAAAAACATGAGTGGATTGAAGTGAGTACGTTGGGTGATCGAATTTTCTTTGCTGGTGATGACTGTTGCTTCTCTGTTACTTCACAAGATTTTGGTGAGGACTACTGCAGGGGAAACTGCATTTACTTTGCAAATAGAGGTACAGGTACATTTAGGGGGAGGTATGGTCCCAATGGACGATCCCCGTGGTCATTCTCCCAATCGCTTTGGTCCAGTTGTTGGTGAGGGTGAGATTAACAGCGAGGGTCACAGCAAAACAGGTGGTCTTAGTAAGGAACTGGTATATAGATATGAAGGATTACATCATAACACGGGTGTCTTTACCGTAGAAGATGGTAAGCTTGGTTCACTGTTATCTTGCCTTGCATACGCAGATATTTTCTGGCCGCCACCATCTTGGCTTAATCAGGCTCGATCTGATGCTCTAGTGAGTCTTCAAAACTCTCATTTTTCCTTTTCATTCTTCAAAATTCTATATACAGGCAGTCTTTTTCCAAGTGTTTTGGCCTAATTGTAGGTTATATATCGATACATAATGCAACACTTCTCAATTCCCAAGTGATGAAATCTGGCTTCAGTTCTTCAAGTTTGTTTTCCAGGGAATTAAGCCTAGTCAAATTAATCAGCGTGTTCCTTTAAAAAAAGTTGCTGAGTCGTGATTATTTATATTCTCGTTGGAATTGCATGCTCATTTCAGTTCTTTTATCTTATCGTAAAAACAATTAATAAAAACTCGATTGACTTAATTTTCAGGATGCCATAAAATCTGCATCATGGATGACTCAAAAATTGAGCAAAGAACTAGCTGATGTTAAAAAGAAGTTGCTTGATCTTACATTATCTGGATCAAATTTCCAATCACCAAATCCACTGGTTAGTCACATGAGTAATATAATGGACCATTGCTACATGAGAATGTTGTTAATTCTTTTCTCCCTTGTTATCATTCTGATTCAAACTTTTATCATCTATAAATAATAGCTTGAGGCTCCTCTGGATCCGACGAAAGAGTTATCTAGATTGTTAGTTGAGCACAAATACGAGGAAGCATTCCCTGCAGCCTTGCAAAGAAGTGATGTGTCTAATATTGTACCGTGGTTGTGCTCTCAGGTATGTTGTTTGCTTTCTTACCTTTTTTGGTTTTCTTGTTGTGGTTTAATTTATGATAGCAATTAGCCATCCTTGAGACACTTTCTAATTTCTGGTTGATGCATCTTAATCAATAATTCCCTTATATGCCTTAGGTTGATTTACCTGGAATATTGTCGATGAATCCTCTCCCTTTGAGTGAAGTACTTGTTTCACTTCTTAAGCAGTTGGCCTGTGATGTTAGCAGGGAGACATCCCCCAAACTGTCCTGGATGAGGAATGTGCTATCTGCCATTAATTCCTTAAGTTTTTTAGCACAGAATTAAGACTAGTACTCTTGATGAGTGTGTTGCTGTTTACTCAGAATTAGTAAGAAATCTTCACCATGTTTTTCCTGTTTCATTACATTAATGTTATTGCTCTCTATGGGAATATCAAATCTTCTTTTGTTTCCTTTTGCCTAAGCTTATGCTGGATAGACTTATTTGAGACCTATATTGACAAGGGAAGGTGCGTGTGATATAAACTATGTCGAACGCCATATTTTTTCTATAAAAAAAAATGTTTTCTTGAAAGTATTTTTGTAAGATTACTCTAAGACCAAATGAGAAAAATGACTAGTGTCGTTTTGTTTTTGTTTTTTTAATTTTGTTTTTTTAAAATGCGTTTTATGACATTTTTTTTTATAACCCATAAATACCGAAAGTCATGTCTAGGGGTGACAAACGAGCAGGTCGGGTCAAATATGGGACGGGTTAAAAACGAGTGTCACACCTCCTTTTTTACCTACACCTCCGGAGGAGAGTATAAGTGAGTTTTTTCCAATTTAAGTGACAATCGAAACAGGATTAATTTATTTAAAATTCAGAGTCGCCACTTGGGATAATTTATGGTGTCCCAAGTCACCGGTTTTAAATCCTGAATCGAGGAAAGATTGACTCTGTTTTACAGTCCGCAAACACAGAAATTCGGGTAAGGAATTCTGTTAACCCGGGAGAAGGTGCTAGGCATTCCCGGGTTCCGTGGTTTTAGCACGGTCGCTCAACTGTTATTCTTGGCCTATTATCTGATTTTAATACATGTTTAGACCTATGTGCATTTTAACTTTATACCCGCTTTTAATCATTTTTAAGGAGATTGCAACGTCATTTAAAATACGTCTTGAACCACGTCACATAAATGCACCTGCGGTCCCCGACACATTTTATCTAACGTTGTTGAGATTTGAATTTGGGTCACATAAATGCGCACCCGAGTTTAGGAAGGTAAATTATTAACTAGCGCGCCTAAAGCAATTACGCATTTTTAAGTTTACGAGGGCCATGGAAAATTCGCTAAATGACACACCTCGATTTCTAAAGGATTCAAAATTTATTCAATGAGGGCCATGCATTTGAGATTTTTGTTTGGCACGGCACGCCTCAATTCCAATTTTAAAAGGAAAATCCAAACCAAGTTTCGAGGGCCATAAACTATAGCTTATTTAGCACGGCATACCTCCAAATCTACTTTAATAGTCTAATTAATTAAGGAAGCTTAAGGGAGTTATTACTACTTTTTAGACTAAATGTTGGAACAAATTTTAAGCCAATAGACCAACCTTAGAAGAGTCACGTGAATAGCAGGCGGGTCAATAGTTAAAGAAAAGACCTTGGGCTCACATAACTGGCCCTACATACAAAGGAGTGCAACTTGTCTCCAATTCAGGCCCAACATGAACTCAAGTCCTTGGGGAGTTAAGCATCAACAGGTGCAGGACTCGAGGTCGAGTCTTCAAGCATGTGAAACATCAGAGTATTAAAATGTAAAGGTGAGGCCAATTCACTTAGCAGAAAATGGACGCCACAAGCAAACTCGACTGGCCTTGATTTTCATTAACTGGGTCAGTATTAGGGCCAAGTCTCAGAACCAACCCTTGTGCACAATTAATTGCTTGCAAATCAATCAAGGAACTATATGAAGCACGGAATAGAACTAACCTTCTGCTTCTGAATTTTAAACTATCAGCTAAACATTCTGAATTGTAAACAACAAATCCAACTTAAACATGCTCACAATCAAAATCAAAATAAATTGGTACTTTCTTCTATTCTTAAAGTGACAGCTAAGCCATTTTCCTTTCTTTTCACATGATCTTTGCACCAATGACTACTTAAGAAATTTAGATCAGTTAAACTATTCTCATACACCACCAGTAATCAATCAGAAAATCAGCACATGAGTTATTCAAATTCCAACACCACATACTGATAACCAAGTCGAACTATCCTTTTATAATCCATATCATAAGGCAGATGATTTTGGGCCAAAAACACATATTAAAGAGCCTTTAGGTAGCAGACTATACATTAGCATTTTACCTTAACCTATACTTGTCATGATACTGGTTCTACGTGAGATTATCGCCAAATATGAATACTCATTTCAGCCGAAAACTAAAATAAACCTGAAATACATGCAGTTTAACTGAGTCATTTGCCACAACATCTTAACAGTCCCATGACAATGTATAATGAGAAGATTTCAGCTAACTAAACTAGAAATCAACTCGAATGATGAATCACATCACTAAGAACACACAATCAAAAAGAAATTTCAGATGAAGCATGGATAAATCTAATAATATGCTTTAAAACTTTCTGCCTTTCATTTCATTCCTCAAATCCATCTTCACAATCAGTAGGGCCTGAGAGTATGTACCTGAGTAAGTAAAAACAAGAGCAGAATATCAAGCTGAAGATCAAGGGAAAGCAGCAACACCAGAAACCAACAGTGTAAACGTGCTGAAAACCAGATTCAAACAATAAAACAGTAACACCCAAACAGCATACTTAAAACAAGCTTCTGAATATCCAAAATTCAATCCATTTCAACCCAATTGCATGATTTTGTCATTTTCAGTAACGTTAATCAAGCAATGAAGATCAATAACCAGGAAACCAAACCAATTTTGAGTGGTTTCACACAAGGAAATGCAAGGAATTCAAGAATATTTTAGAATTTTCCAAAGAAGGCAGCCGTTCAGTTTTTTTAGGATTTTTTTGCTCTCTAAAATCCCTCTCTTTAGTCTCTAAGTAATGATGCCTTTATAGGCAAGCTATTAAGGCAGCTAAAAGGATCAATTTTTGCACTTTGCAGATTTGATATTTTTATTTTAGCTCCAATACCCTTAGTTCAGAAATTAACTTTCAAACTAACCCCCATCTCAACTTCCTAGAAACTTCTCTAGTCTGTTACTGAAATATTCCCTACGCCAATTACCAAGAATAACCCTCAATACCCCTAAAGATTACCCCTCCAACCAAAATATGGGTCAAACTGACCCGACTCAATTTGGTATGGGTCTGCAACCCAAGCTGAATTCCCTCTTGGGCTCTTGATTTTTCAGAGCCCAATTCAAATTAATCAAAGATTCACAGTTTTAAGACTTTATCAAAATCTCCCAAAAGAAAACCCGGAAACCTTTTAAAATGCAATCAAAATAAAGAAGAGAGTGAATGAACTAATTAACCTAAACACATAGCAGGAAATTAACTAAGTTATAGGCCTAATCAAATTAACTAGGTGATTAAACAGAAAGAAAAAAATAAGAAAATTAGCCATGTTATTAACCAAATTTAACGGACTAAAGAAGTCAGAGAACAGGCTTTCACAAAGAAGAGGAAAAGAAAAAAGAAAAGGAACAAAATAATGAACGGAAAACAAATTTGAACTCAAATGGTTAATCGAATTTCACCCGATTATTATAAGAAAACTAGGCTAAAGAAAAGGGAAGGAGGAGGATAATAAGACAGTGAAAGAAAGAAAAATACAAGAGGGGGAAATGAACTTACCAAATCAAAACTCGAAACCAGACGGAGACAAAAGACCTAACAAAACTAATGTCGATCAATTGTTCTTTGTCAAGAACAAACTAAACGACATCAGTCTTGTTGAACCCAAACATTAAAATTTGAAGAAACAACGCCCTATGACCATGCATGATCTCAAGTTCAATAGAAAATGACTTTTGGACTTTTAGGGCTCGACCTCGGATTCAAGATTCGCGGAGCTCCGGGCAGATTCAAAGGAAAGCACTTGGGGATTTGGTATGAGGGGATCATGGGGGTTGTAGGGTGTTAGTTTGGCGCGGTTTGGGAACTGCGCCGCCGGCGACAAGCGGTGGAAACTAGGGCGGCGTCTCTAGGGTTTTGGTTAGAGACGATGAGATTTGGGAGATGAGACGGGGGGAAGGGATTCAGACAATATTATACTAATCAAACCCCACTTTCGGACCGTTAGATCAACAGAGATCAACGGTCCAGATCAAAAGAACGAAACGATGTCGTTTTGATTATGATGGAGATTGGACCGGGTAGGAAACGGATTCTGGGCTGGGTCAATTGGTATTTCGACGGGTCTAAAGGAAAATTTGTTTGGGCTTGGACAATTTCAGATTTTGGCCCAAAAAATCTGATTTCTTCAAAATCCTTTCTTTTTCTTTTTTATTTTCCAAAATTCTTTTCCTTTGTTTAAAAATTAAAAATAACACCTAAATTAATCCCTAAATCAAATTATCTTACCAAATTAAATTAATTAACCCTAATAATTATTACAACTAATTAAATACCAAATTTAAGGAAAACTAACAAAATTCAAATCTAAAATTGAACAATACAAAATAAACTATTTTTTGTGATTTTTCCATTTTTGTAAAGCAACTAAATTACTAATTGATTAAAAATGCAAAATTAAATCCTAAATGCAAATGCAACATATTTTCGTATTTTTCATAATTTAAATAAAATTAAACATGCACAAACAAATCCAAACAATTACAAAAATACTACGAAAATCCACGAAATTGCAAACAATGGAAAACGTTATTTTGTTTTGAATTTGTGGGAGTAATTCATACAGGGCAAAAATTACATGCTCACATCTGCCCCTCTTTGCTCGGAAACACGAAGAGTTTTCGTGCAAAGATAAAGTGAGCGGATACGAGCAATTTTTGCCCGTTTGAGTACTCTGTGGGAAGCATTTTTTGAAAGATTTGACTGCACCCTGCTTCCGAGGTTGCCTACATGTCCTTGGCTATAAAGGAATCAGGTTAGTGTAGTTCGGGAAGTTTCGGTAGCTGAGACTACCATGAAGCTGTGACTTCACTGTTATTGTTGTTGCTGCTACTGCTTACTGAACTCCTTATTACACCATGATAAATAAAAAGAAGCTAGACTAAACTATGATCTATGCATTACAAAAATCCTATCTATATCCTCAAACTTGATTCTTGTGATTCATGTTGCCTTGTTGACTTGTATTCCCCAGGTGAAATCCCTTTGTTGCGGACTTGAATTGTAATCTGAGATGCTTTCCCTTTTCTCCAGGTGGGTGCCT